AGCATCAGAGTCATAAATAAACCACTATTCAGCTGCATAATAATAAGAAATATATTAAAACCTTAAAGAAAAATAATAAATAGAAAACCATGAGAACAAAATATAAGTGTGTAAATAATCTACTTAATTACATAGATCACTTTTTGTTCTTTCTCTAATTGCAGCTTGATCAACAAAACAATACATGCCTCTCGAAATATTTTTACCTAAATATCATGGATATATTGATGTTATATATAAATTTAGCATATTCATAAACTGAGATCGAAATATTAAAGTATTACCTCTGCAAGTGATAAAACAACCTTGTTTGAATTTGTCTCTAATCTAGACACAACGATTTGAAGCGAACTCAATAAACTTTCTAGCACACCAACATTTTTTTAGTATGTGGGGTTCAAGTAATAAGCTACACAATATAAATAGTGATAACACTTATAAATGATAACACTTATAAATAATAAAAATATAAATTGTTAAACAATAAGTTTACTTGTCATATGAATATGTTGAATGATTTATTTTTTCCATTGAGCATTAATAATGTCAAGATATTTCTTACACGATTTAAGAGCTGCGTCTTTGACAACTTGTCTTGCTTGTTTCATTACTTCATATATATATGACATTGTTGCTTTTATATTCTCATCTATAATTCTTAGAACTCTTGCAATAGGTGTATATATAGTTGACACATTTTTGGCGTTCTCCCAAAACTTAGGATTTAAAATTGTCCCTTGCATTCTCTTTCCAACTGAATTCTTTGCTATCACAGTCTTAAACAAATCCTTTGAAGTAAACATTCTTTCTAAGCCATTTCTCTGTTCCAAAATACTTTGTAAGGCAATATAATTAGTGGCAAATCTTGTTTCTCCATGTCGAATCTATTGTCCGAACAAAATGTTCTCATTATATCACAGACTATTGTAATTATAGATAAAATTGGTCACTCTTTTAGCTTGCTCCAGCACATTTTGAACTGTTTCAATCTTGAAAAAATTATGCAAAATCAAATCTAGAGAGTGGGCAGCACAAGGAGTCCAATTTAAGTGTGGTTTTCATTCCATCAAACATTTCACCGGTTTTTTTGTACGCACTACCATTGTCTGTAATAATTTGAACAACATATTTCTTTCCAATTTCCTCAACAATAGCATCCATCAACCCCAAAATATAATTAGCATATTTGTCATGATTAGAATTATCAATTGACTTGTGGAAGACAATTTTTGCTTGACAATATATCAAGAAGTTAGTGATAGATAATTTTGTGGTAGATGTTTATCCATCACACATTATTGTCATTCCATAAATCTTCTACTTCTTTTTAAACTGGTCAATGCACTCTTTAAGCTTATCTATCTTATTATCTAGTAATGACTCATCAATCTCATATAGTATTGACCCTTGCACACCTACTCCAACTAAAACAATTTTATCAATCATCAATTTATAAAAATGACCTTGAGCTTTGCTTGGTGGAACATTGTCATAAATGAAATACTTTGCAGTAGCATGTTTTACCGACTTTGTCCACTTTTTGGGATTTTACATATGAGTTAGTTTGGATTGCTTCACTTTTTTATTTCGATACATTAAAGGATCTATCTCCTCTATCGTGAGATCTTTTTCTTTGTCTATCAACTTTTGTAATTTTCTTGAGAATTTATCCCAAGATTCCTTCACACTATGTGAGCGCATGAAACCCTTAGATGTACCACTTTTTTAGATAAATGGTCTAAAACTTTCTCATCTAAAGTCCTGCTCGGTCATATGTATGTCACGAATAGATTGGTGTTTTGCATATTCAATATCAACTCTATATTTTATATCAATATCATCATTTGAATTTTTATTAGAAGAATAAATGTCGATACCATTCCTCCGCCTTGATCCACCAATTAAATTTTGTCTTATTTTTCTCTGTTCATCGGTCATTTTTGCACTTTCAGTTTTTTTGCGATTCAAGTAATCTCTCATAGCTCTCGAAATTTTTATAAGACACTTATTACATTGTTCTACATTATTATAACTGCCGGTCAAGTGTTGCTTTATACGTGACACACTGCCATCCTTCATTATTTTATGGCAAAAATTATATATCACATGTTGTCGGTTATTCCTAATTCGTTCACCGTAATTCTATCCAATATCACGTTCTTTTTCTTTTTCTGGGATGATTCAGTAACCACATGCTTCCCTTTTGATGTTATATCTACAATAAATACCATTACATTATCAAACACATTATATTCATTCTACAAATTAAATATGACATGTATAACACTTGAATTAAAATATTGTCCAATTAATAATACTATTTTATTATAATATTAATTTATTAATTAATAATACTAACACTTTGTGCAGCATGTTATTATAATACTAATTTATTAATTTAAACTGTGTCTACAAATTAATAAATAATATTATTTTATTAATATTAAAATTATTGTCTACACAATTTTTATTTTTACACACATAAATGCTTAATTCTAGATATTTAACAAATAAGGTATAATTAATAAAATGACTTGCATTTATTTAATATACCAATTTATTAATTAGTAAATAATAATAACACAAAAGAATAATTGCAAAAAGGAAAAAAATAACGAAGGGTATTAAATGAAATTAGTGGTACATGTGTATATTTTTAAAAGTTAAAAGTTATAATGCAGTGGGGTATTAAATGAAATTTATCATACTTATAACAAAAAATAAAATAAAAGTGGGAAGACTCCTCAAAGAGTCAGTCGTGACTCTGTCTCAACGACAAATACAGACAGAGATAGAGAGAAGAGAGAGGCAATGGGCGATGGTCGATGTTGGAGAGAGAGAGAGAGAGAAAAAAAAGAACATACTTCTTGATCGTGGCTCGTGGGTTGTAGAGATGAAGACCTAAGTCCCAAGATCTGAGTGGAGGGAGGTCAGATATGCTCAAATCTGGACTCGAGGAGATAAGTTACTGAACTCTTCTCCTTTAATTTCTATTGTATAGTTTGTATCTATGCCTTTCTCTCTCTCTTCAAGTTCATCTGGGTGAGCCGATTGTGTCTTTCTCTCTGTCTTTTTTATTGCTCGAAGGACCTGAACTTGTATACGTGTGATTTCTGAGAAAATCTAAGAATTTTGAGAAAAATCTTTGTTTCCCCCCATTTTTTTGGTTTGGAGGACCAGCGCACTCATGAATTTTGAGATTCTGACTTGGGATTCTCAGCTTTCTGAGTCTTTCCCATTTTTTTTTGGCTCGGACGACTTTGGCCTAGAGTGCAGTCGAATCAATTCACTGTTTTGATCAAAACGGTCCAACACAGTTACGTTTTGACCGAAATTTTGAAATTTTGGGATTCAACCCATGTTTTGTATCTATGTTTTGAAAATCCACAATATTTCAGATGTTTTGACACAACATTTCAATCCTTGCCCACACCATCCACCCCATTCCCCCCACACATACAGTATCTTCTTTATTGTGTATAGTATGTATGAATTTGTATTATTGATTTTCCAACATCTAACTATTCTTCCTCAGGATATGCTTTGGGGATGTTTACAATATTTGTTTTGATTTATCATGGGAAGATAACAAGTTATGAATACACATTTTTCTTTAACATCCTGCAGTCTAAATCATGGAGCATTAAAATTAGGATCTGATTCTTTTAGCATGTTGAAAATGTGATTGTATCAAGGATCAAAATATCGTGTCAAAACGGTTGAAACATCTGAAATGTTTCCGTTTTCAAGGAGACCGAAACAAATCAGTGATGAAATCGAAATTCTAATATTTCGAGGTGTTTCATAATGTTTCAAAATATTTTGTTATATTTCAATGCATTTGAACAATTATTTTAGAATGGTTCAAGGTATTTTAAGATATTTTGGTATTTTTCGACCAATATTTTAAAAAATTATTCTTAAATTTTTTATTTTTTGTTATTGTGTTTTTGAAACAGGTTGAAACGTTTGCAAAAAATATCGAAACGTTTTCATTTCTTTGAACAGAAATAATACACCGAAACGAAATTTTGATCCTTAGATTGTATTAAACATTAAATACAGAGTTAGAGGCTCTTTGATAGCACCACTTAAGATTTAAAACTAAATATTTTAAGCATTTAATAAATTAAATCCGTTTGATAACCTAAAACTCATATTAGTTAATATTTTAAGAACTTTTTAAAAATAGGCTAAAATTTTAAGTATCAAGCCACCTACTTATTGTTTAATACTGAAAATATTAATCAGTAAGGATTTTATCAATTTCTCATAATGGACAAATATACCCTCACCATCGTTGTGTCATAGCCGCCACCACCACCACCACCATTGTACCATCGCCACCTCCACCACCACCACCACCATCGTTATCACCACCACTATCATTGTGCCATCGTCACCATCACCACCTCCACCATCATCACCACCACTAATATTATGTCACTGCCACCACCATCGCCACCACTGTCACTATCATTGTGTTGTTGTCACCATCACCATCGCTGTCGCCACCACTACGATTGTGCTGCCGCCGCCGCCGCCACCGCCACCACCACCACCACCGCCACCATTGTTGCTACCATCACCATCACCACCATTACCACTACCATTGTGATGGTGGTGATAAGAATAAGGTAGTTGCAGAGAGATGGTTAAAGAAAATGACAAAATTAAAATACTAATAATTTTCCAGTTTAAGCTCCTTATATTTTTCAAACAGTTTGATTAAATTCAATACTTAAATTTCAGTTCATACCAAACAGTCTGCAAATTAAAAAATTCAGCACTCAACACTTAAAATTCAACATTTCGTTTTTAGTTTTCAGTTTTCAATTTTATCAAACACCACCTTAGATAAGAACTTGATTCAATGCGTCTCTTCAAATTCAGATCTTGCTGGAGAAGGTTAAACTAATGTTTATAGGCCTACCCACCTGTTATTGCTTTTAATGGTTTGGGGATTTTATACAATAGAAATCATTTAGGAGGAGGAAGACATGAAAGTGAGTGATTATGGTCTGTGCTGCAGTAGAAGCAAGAATAATATGCATCCTGGGGATACAAAATTTTGTATCCACTTTTTTTTTTTCTACTCAACCTACAATTTCTTGCATGCTTTCTTTGTGATTCACTTTGATGCAGAGTAAGAGAGAATTTTAACCTAGTGATTGCTGTTTTTTTGTTTCCATTTTTTATAAGGTTTTTTGCACCGTTCGAAACTGAACACTTACTGCTTGGTATTACCCCTAGGATTTCTGTACATTACTAGCAGTACAAATTCAGGTTTAGATTATCCCCAAAAACTAATTTTTCCTTTGTCTTTTTTATACTCTTACAGGCATTCTTGGATTTTAGGTGCTCTGTAATTGAAAGACGTGCAAGGTTTAAGCTTTCACAAGCAAAAGACAGAAGCCATATTGTTGAGGTAGGTTAAAATTACCTGAAAGTTAATCACCTAACTTGTCTGCTTAGAGTGATACACTGACTATTCTTTGGGATTAAAACCCTTTTATTTGTGTTCCAAGCGTTGGATGAAAATGTTTCTGATAGGTTTGTGGTCATTGCTGGAATTGCAGGAATGATATTGTTTTTGTTGTTTCTTATTCAAGTACTCTATTCATTGTTATTGGTGTTAATCAATTCACACGGATTGGTTGGCGCTTTGCAGTTTTGTTTCTCTGAATCTAACTTAGAATGATTTTTGTTGAATGCTACAACCACAGAAATACCTTATAAATACCCACAGTTACTACTGCTTATTTTTGTTTCTTTTTGAATGAAGGGTATCATAGTGGGGCTTGATAATTTAGATGGAGTCATTGACAGGATCAGGAAAGCTTCAAGCCATGCAACAGCGTCAGCTGATTTGAGGAAAGGTGAGGCCTCTTACCATTTGGTGTCTGTCAACACATCTTATATTTAGTTGAGCTGAGATATTTTAAAATCTTAAGCAACTATCTTTCCAAGTGTCGTCGGCTTCGTGATTAATTTTAGAGCATACAACACAAAACCAGTTGGCTAGGAGTGGAAAGACTTACATGACTCATATAATAGTTTGGGGGCACTATTATACCAATGTGCAACAAAGTCTAACATGCTCCCGTATGTGCGACTCCCGTTTGCAGGTGGAGAGATAGCCGGAAGAATCAGACGACATCATCGGAGAAATAAGATGGTGTAGTTACGACAAAAACATATGGAGAACCTAGACAAAATATGTGGCTTGCCTAAAATCACTAGAAGATACAATGTTTGGGAATCTAACCCATAACTAATTGGCACTGAATGGACAGATTCCTAAATCATATGAACCAACATTGGGTGACCTTAATTTTTCGATGTGGGATACTACGTCTCCTCATAGACATTTAACACATAACCAATTGACAATGAGTGAAGAGGTCCCTTAACCGTATGAACTTACATGGGGTGGCTTTAATATTTCAATGTGTTAGGCTGTAATATTTCAATCAGTTATTCGAGCTCTCTTCGCACTCTGTCTCACATGTGATCTGGACTCTCAAGTGGGTTATCATACCAAGCCAAAATAAATAGAAAAACAGGTTGGGAAATCCAAATAAGTGAGAAACTAGGCCCACTAATCACCTATGACCTGGCTTTGAAGCCAAGGTATCCAACCAAAAAATAACTGGCAATGAGCCTACTCACTTAGACCATCTCTAATGGAAATGCAAACTCTTACCCAAATTTGAGTTAAAAAAAAGGGTAAAAGTTTGATTTGATATAGACCCTTCCAATGGAAAAACTCAAATTTAAATAAGGACAAACACAAATTTAAAAGATGGTAAAATATGACTATTGAATCTTTAAAGGCGAGTGAAATCTCATCATTAAAGATTTGAGTATGAATTTGAGTCTCCCTTGATTTGAGTAAAAATGAGTCTTCATTTGATATGGATGAGGGTGTTTGTGTGTCGGGTTGACCCACGGTCCCTTTACCTGGAATGAAGTTCGATAGGCCAGATAGTTGGTCCGTTCGAGCCCAATTTTCTTCGAGAGAAGACTTAGGTTTGCTCTAAAACTCATTACCTTGCCCAAAACCCGACCCATGAGGCTGTCCGCAAAAGCCCGTTAAAAACCAGCCCAAGAGTCGGTTCGTCCAACCCATTTGCTCTTCCACTCAATTGTTTGAAAAAACATTGAACATTGATGATAATTGATGAAGAAAAGTTGGAACATTGAACCTTCCACCCAATAACTGCTCATTTTATTGATGATAATTGGGTTATGCAAAAAAGTATTATTACTTTTATAAGACTGAAGATAATCATAGCTCAAAGTTATTTTTGAAGTTATTGATAATCAGTTACAAATTTATAATATTCAAAACAAAAATTTTTACTATTACTTTAGATAATGCTACAAATAATAGTGGGGTTGTAAGTCATGTAAAATGTTTAACTTTACTTTGTGAAGGTATTTTTTTCCATATGAGATGCACGTGTTGTATTATAAATCTCATAGTACAAAGTAGTCTCTATGATATTAGATTTGTAATTTATAAAAATATTAAGTTGAAAACTTTTTAAATGAAATTGTATATAGAGTGGCGGGTTGGGCTACGGGTACCCTACCCAGCATGAAGCCCGCCTTACCCGAAAATTCTCCTGAGTAAGGGCTTGGACCTACCTTACTCAGGCTTGGTCTGGAAAATTTTTTGCGGGCCTAGCCCGGCCCATCTCGACCCATGGACTCTGCTAGATATGGGTATAGATTTAGCATTGGAAAAAATTTTTAAGTGTTTTTTATCCAAATATAAATTTAGGTTTAAAAAAGGGGTAAGTATTGGAAATGATCTTACAGGGTTTATATACTTGATTTGAAAGGCGTTATTATACCGCTGGTAAAAAAAAAAAATTCCAACTGGCCTTTAGTTTAATGGTACTTTTTGCCTTGTTGAGGTCAAGGGTTCAAGCCCCCTTCCTCTCCCTCTCTCTCCAAAACCCCCTCCCTCTCCCTCTCCCTCTCCCTCCAAAAGAAAAGAAAACCATTATGATGCACATGTATTGGCTTTTGCTTATCCTTGTCAACCCAATTCATATTTCAAACCCCCCTTCTTCTAGGCAGCATAGAATACAATATTTGTTTTCAAGTATACTTTTGTCTTTCACTGTTTAAATAACACTTTCATTTTCTAGTGTGCAAATTTAATAGGGTTGTATTATGCAGTTGGGTCAATGCTTAGTTATTTTCTTGCTAATTAAGTAGGGTGATTGGGCTATGATGATTGCTTTGCCAAAAGTTGTAGTAGTTGATCAATTAATATTTCATCATTTTCTTTATTGCAGAATTCAATTTGTCTGAGAAACAAGCTGAAGCTATAATGGACATAAACCTAAGGAGGCTTACACTTCTTGAGGTGCAGCCTGTTTTATGTTTGTTGATTTGATTTTCTAATGGTCTCTTTCACTATTAGTGTTAAAATTTTATTTTCTCATATTTGATTTGTTGCAGAGAAATAAATTTGTCGAGGAGGGGAAGTCTTTGATGGAACAAATTTCAAAACTAGAGGAGCTTTTGTTGAGCAAGAAACTCATATTCCAGGTTGACTTTCCCCTTTTTGTTGTTACTGGATGCTTATTTATTTTTTACATCATTTCACATAAGCATTAAGGTTCTGGCTACAGTACATTAGAAAGCGGTCATTACTATAGTGCTTATGCTTTTCCTGTGAAGCGACTCCTATTGTTTGCTTTATTTTAGAAGTTCGAGAACGATATTTAAATACCTAGACAGACTTAGAGGGGTGGCAATTAGGTCATTATAAAAACAATTTCCCAATTAAAAAAATAAGAGCGATTCTAACACAAGCAAATGAAGTATGGGCAGTATAAGCAGTTGAATAGAAATCAAATTCAAAACAAGTATAATTATCTCAATCACCTAATATGAGTATATTTTGGTATATTGACCTAGTGAGTTTGATCCGGTCTCATCATCAATCACAAATAACGTTGTCAATTTTTACATGGAAACTCAAGCATGAGAAGAAAAAAACCGGGGATCTTTTCCAAATATAAAACCTACAATATGTGGAAACGAAATACCCGACTCACTTAAAGATCAACCCAAACGCCATGAATTCTAGTAGATGTACTCGTCTAGACTTCCTCCTTATTGCATCAACGACCTCCACAAATGTCTTAACACCAAGGATCGAAATGTCGTGTCAATTCGTCTGAAACGTTTCGGATTTTCAACACACTGATACGAAACATGACTTGAATCCCAAAATTCCAAAGTTTTGGTCAAAATGTCCCAGTATCGGACCGTTTCAGTCGAAATAGTATTGTTTCGACGAAACAATGTATACATTCGACCGCACTCCAGGCCAAAGTCCAAGCCAAAAATAAAAAGGGGAAATAACAGAGATCACATGTACACAGAAATTTTAGATTTTTTTAGAAATTAAGTCTAGGTCTTGCAAGCAAAAAAAAAAAAAAAAGCAGAGAGAAGAGAGAGAAAGGCACACCCAGACAAAATCGGGAGAGAGAGAAAGACACAGATATAGACTATACAACAAAAATTGAAGGAGAAGAGTTCAGTAGCTTACCTTCTTGAATCCAGATTTGAGCAGATCTAGCATCCCTCCACGCAGATTTAGGGTGTGGTACTTAGGTCCTCATCGCTGCGACCCACGAGCCTCGAGCTACTAGGTATGTTCTTCTTCTCTCTCGCATCGGCATCGCATCACCATCGTCATTGCCTTTCACTCTTCTCTCTGTCTCTATCTGTGTTCATGACTTCGTGGGTAAGAGAGTCACGACCGACTCTTTGAGTCTTCTGGCTTTTGTATTTTTTTTTATTATATGTATGAAAAATTACATTTTATAACTTGCTATATTATAACTTTTAATTTTTAAGTATACATAAGTACCATTAATTTCATTTAATAGCCTTCATTATTTTTTTCCTTTTTGTAATTACTCATTTATGTTATTATTATTGTTAAATTGGTATATTAAATAACTGCAAGTCATTTTATTAATTATACCTTATTTGTTAAATATCTAGAATTAAGTATTTATGTGTGTACAAATTGTGTATACAATGATTTTAATATTATTGAAATAATATTATTTATTAATTTGAAGACGCAATTTAAATTAGTAAATTAGTATTATAATAATATGTTGCACAAATTAGTGTTATAATAAAATGTTGCACGAAGTGTTAGTATTATTAATTATTAAATTAATATTATTAATTGGATAATATTTTAATTTAAAAGTATTGTACATGTGTATTTTTCCTCCAATTTAAATTTATTCTTGTATAAATTGATGTTAATTCAATAAATATGAATTAATCAATTATTTACCTTATCTTTATAAATAAATGAATTGTATTTTTGTTTCTACGTGTTTCCATATTTTTACTGTGTTTCTATTGCGTTTCCGAAACATTTCCCTTTTTAAGCTGACCGAAACGATACTTCGAAACGATATTTCGATTTTTGCTTAACACCTCACCAACAATATGGTTTGGATCATGCTCCTACTCTCAGGACATTGTCCTACTAATCCTCCACAGAATGCACCAATGATTGCTCGACCTTCAAGACTCCTCCAATAATCTCCAAGGAAACCACTTGAATCAAATTAAGTTTAGAAACTCCTTTCTTTGAAGATCAGGTGACCTGTGTGTATCACTCATGAACACTAAAAAACTAAGTTTTCCTCTTCAAAGGTTACCTAGTAACTAGTCAATTTATTGATTGGAAGCTTAAGAATAGGTTCTTCTCTCTTGTGGTTTGCTCCAAGATCCTATTCACTTCGCTCGAGTGGCAACTTATGGTATCCTTCCAAACTTATCCTAAATGACCTCGCTTGAGCTTCAAAGTGGCTTGCTCTCGTGATCTGTACTTAAGCCACAAATCTTGTATTAAAACAAAGTTTTTCATTTCAAACATCATGGTTTAATATATATCACTCAACTTAAATCTTTCATATCCAATTAGCTTAACTACCAAGGTTAATTAATTTCTCTAGGTCCACCTACCAATCCTAAGTGGTTTTGAATATGACGAGTCATATGATGCTATCTTCAATTAATCCCCAATCATCTCAATCAGATCATGGTTGAGTCTTCTCAATCTTCAAAGCTTCTCATCTAGACCTAAACTGACTTGACTTGTATGCCTCACAAAAATGTAAATTTCAATTATAATCCTAATAATCTCCTTTGGCATTTGCGTGCCAAAACATTTATATCAGCATCAATCGTAATATGATTTATTGAACTTGGGATACAAAATGAAATCCATCAAAATTTGATTTCATACAATGTTTTGACCTTTTGGGCGTTGACACTAAATACTTCTTCCTCAATGCTTATTTCCTATATTTTGAAGTAGAAATTTGAATCAGTAAGGACTGCTCAAATCACTGAAACATAACTCATGAATCACAGAATTTAAATGAATTAAACATAACAAACATACTTAAGTGAAACCAGAACATAATTTATGAAACATAGATATTAAGGGCCTGTGTGTTTGTTGTTTTTGTTTGTTGTTTTGTGTTTTTGTTTTCAATTTTTGCCAAAATTAAGAACAAAAACTTGTTTGGTAATTGTTTTTTTGTTTCATCTTAGTTGTCTAGGAAACAAACCAAAAAAATGGGAACAAAAAAATTGTGTTCTAGGAAACTAGGCAAAACGGAAACACGCGCGCGCAAGGTAAGGAGATCTAATGAGTTCCAGGTTTCGAACTTCCTTAGCTGCAAAAATAGCATTTTTTCGTGGAGCTATTTAAACCCACTTCAATAACATTAGGTCTCTCCATCTCCATTGCTGCATCAGTCTCTCTATTGTCTCTCTCGTCAACGGGGACAACCACCTTCTTTTCTCCCTCTCTCATCTCATCTCTCTCTCTCTCTCTATATATATATATACACACACATAGATATATGTGCATATATACACAGATCTGTGTACATATACATAGATCTGTGCATATATATGCATACATACACAGATCTGTGTATATATACACACATAAATCTATGTGTATTGTGTTTCGTGTGCTGTGTGTGTGCTGATTGTGTTGTGTTGTGTGTGTGTTGTGTGTTGGTTTTTGATGATCAAGGGTATTTTTGTTCTTGATTTGTGGATTGGGTAGGTTTGTCTACCTTTCTCTCTTTGTAATAATTTTTGATCAATGATAGAAAGTGTTGATTTGTTTTAAAAAAATAAATTTTGGGGAGTTGGATTGAATTGCCATTTGAGATTGAATTGATCAAGTATTTGAAACAACTCCAAGAGAGAGTGAAAGAAATGAAGGATCTTGAGAAGAATCTGCACTCATCCCTCAAATTGCTCAAGTGAAAGAAATTTCCAATTCACTTTACGTAAAAGAAGCCCTTACTTTTTTGTTTCATCTTCCTCTGAATCTCTGAAAAAATGGAATAATCCTCATTTACAGAGTCAGTTCAAGTACTTGTTTTCGCAAATTCTTGTAATCATCACCATTTTAGACCATCAGGCATCAGTCTTGAAGCTTGTTTTGCTGTGAGGTTCATTTTGAAGTAGGGTTTTTTCTATCATTTTTTTTATGGTTGATTCATTATAATCACCCTCCTGTTGTAAAGAGTGATCTCATGGCTTGGTTAGGCTTCTTTTTGGTATAAATAATTTATCAAATTAATTTAATTTGTTAAGTCTCAATAGCATTGTTGAAAGAAAAAACAGGGAACTTAAAGATATAACTTGAAGTGGTTATCAAACATGTTTTTTATTTTTATTCTCATAATTTGGTAAACACAAATGACTACCAAACATGTTTTCTGTTTAAGTTTTTACCACAAAACAGAGACAAAAATTGTTTTTAGTTTTGATTTTTTTTTAAGACGCGAAAACAAAAATGTTGTCAAACGACTCCTAATTATTTGACAATTAAACTCCCCAATATTCATGAACCCTCTCATCCCATATATGCTCCTCCTTAATCCTTGATCCATATCAAGTACATGAGGAATATGAAACTTAGTGAGATGTATGTAATTAGTAACTAATGTAGAACCCCTTTGCCCTGTTGTCATGAAATTCCAAATAAATCAATCAAGGCATAAAACAGAAGAAAAAATTGACATGTTGATAAACATCAAACTAATCACACTTTATATAAATGAAAAGCAATACACGTTTGGTGTCATCTACATCAACTAAGGTGTAGACCTGGGAATGCTCTCTACAGGATAAACCACTCCTAAGTCTAGGCATCTCACCTCACTAAGCAGCATCACCATCTCCATCATTAGCTACATCTTCAACTCTATAATCATCATTAGCATAGGGAATGTGTAGCCTATGTACAATTTCTCTAAGCCTTGTGATCTGTCATATTTGATGGTGCAAATTATGTCGATGATGCCCACCAATCTGTGTATAGAGTCTAGCCTCCATGTCAGCAAGTATCCTATGTGTCTTAGAGTGAGCACATATAGGAGCTGCTAGAGTAAGAGATGGCAATGTGGTGGCTTAAGCCTACAAGGGTTTGCTAGCTGGTGAAAGAGTAGAAGTGCCCTCCCTAAGCATGTGGCGGGTGGTGGTGTTACAAGAACATAAGCATGTGAAGTGATTTGTCTCGAGATCTCCCTTTGGGTTCCATGGTCTTTTGTATGGTATCGGTTAGCAAAATTGGAACTCTAACCTGCTCACATAGTTTCAAAATGAGATAGCTAAAGGGAAGACCATCAAAAGTTTATCTACTCACTAAAGCACGCACAATAGCTCTGAAAATGTATTACACCATGTCATTATTGACTTCTCACTCTGTAACATATATCAAGTTTAGAGGTGACAATCATGTCGTATCGTGTTATGTCAAATTCGGGTTCAAAACACATCAACCCAAACACGACCTGTTAGTTAAACGGGTTAGGTTATCTGGACATGAACACTTGTTTTTAAACACAACTAACCTGACACGACCCGTGACCTGAGATTTGCACAGGTTGTGTTCGGGTAACCACGACCCAATCCGCCACAACCCAATCCGCCTAAGAAACCACATATTTGCTACAAGAAACCATAGATTTGTTAATTGTATTAACAAAAGGGCCTAATCTATAGTATTAACAGCTTTGACCTTGAATTTGAAAATGTTGGTTTGTCTACCTAATTGAAATTGAAATGCCTAGTATTAACAGCTTTGAGCTTGAAATTGAAAATGCCTACTTGAAATTGAATTTGAGCCTAATTGAACCACCTCCATTACCCTCCACGACCTAAAATGTGTTCATCTCCTCGTCCACCTTCACTTACAAGCCAACCTAGGCATCGTGATCAACTTGCCTCATTCATAACACACCATCACTCCCTCCTCCACCGCGACACACCACCTCCCCCTCCTTCTCCAATGCAGTGAAGTGCAGATCTGTGTATAGGGAAGTGCAAAGTGAAGTATAGGAGAGAAAGAGAAAGAGAAAGAGCTAAACTAGTTGGTGGTCCAGTGGATGGATGCCTATGGTTGTGACTCAATACCTGTGAAGGGGAGTCAGAGTCGCACTAGTCAAATCACCAAGAGGGAGAAGCGAGTGAGATGCAGAATAAATATGAGATGTGAAATGAATTTAGGGTTAGGGATCCAACCAAGTTTATTTATATAGTGACGGGTCATTCAGGCTGAAAAACAGGTTAATTGGGTTCGTGTCGACCCGATTAGATACACAGGTCAATTGGGTCAATTTTTGGTTAAACTTGAACATGACCCATTAATAATTCGTGTTATATACGAGTTTGTGAAAAAAAATAGTCAACTTAATCCTATTAATTTGTGTCGTGTTATTGTGCCGTGTTGGAATTTGCCACCCCTAATGAAGTTATCTCTTGATGCGTTGGATTCATTGATATGACTCTTAGGATCAATATTTGTAGACACAACGTTGTTGAGCAATCCTCGGTCATGTCCTTTTATTGTAACTTGGGTCGTGCCTAAGTGTGGCGCAAATGTTTCAACGTGATCGCCAACTCAACTAATGATGGTAGCTGAACTCGTCATCCTCATCTTCAACGATGAACTGTGATATCTCAACATATGACAACTCCAAGTTTGCCGCAAAGGTGGTTGCGGATACCTCAAAAATCACTCCACATGTAAATTTTAAAAAACTCATGCTAAATGTTTGACTTGCATGTTGGTGTTGAGGGCATCCAAAGTGTTCGTGAGAGATATAATGAAAGCTGGGAACATACCCAACTCCTTATTAGAGGTGACTCATAGATGAGTTAGATTTTGAATCACTATCACTCCATGCCACATTCATTGCTTTTCTTTCCTCACGGTTTATTTTCTTTTTATTACTTGGGCAACAAGCTACGTGTTCAAATCGATGGCACTCAAAGTATTGCCCTTTCTTGCCTTAGAAATGTTTTTGAATTTTTTGAAAATCAAGGCTAGTTCCTGTTCCCCTATGCTCAAGTTGTCAGACTTCTCGCCGTCTTCCTTACTTTACGACATGAGTATATCCTTATGTTTCTTGGGCCCACGAAAATTCAACTTATAGGTTTGGAACGACCTAAGCAGCTCATCAAACTTGAGATAATGTATGCCCTTTCTCTCCTCGATGCTTGTCTCTTTAGCTTAAAACCTATTCGGTGGAGATCACAACAAAATTTCTCATTAACTTGAGCTCCTCAATAGGTTGTATCTAGGATTGACAATGTCTTTAAACCAAGCATAAACCTGAAAAAGTCTTCATGGCCCTCAATTTTGATGTTTTCTAACCTAGTGGTATGCATTTGGAGTTGTGACCTTTTCATAGGATTGTACCATTGTCTGAAACCTCATGATGTCCCATTCCTCTTGAATTCAAGATTCTTCGTAAGTTAACGACGTCCACAACATTAAAGATAACACTAAGACCCTTTGTATTACATCGACCTGCCTCAAAATATTCTTTGGTCCATTTGCTAGCTCATATGGGGCTATTCTTGTCTTTATAGCATTGGTCTATTGGGTCCGACCTAAGTGGACAATCAAAAACACCCACTCATCTAAAGGTCTAAGAGATGCTTTCATGCGTGCTTTTCAATAAGCATAATTAGTTTCATCAAACAATGGGGGACAGGTGATAGAACTGCTCTCGCTATGTGTATCCATATCTGAAAAGACATTGATAGTTTGATACCACTTGAACATTCTTTAATGATATCTAAATACTCAGATACAAATATCGAGGGGTTAAATCGATAATTATAAAGACGATTACCCAATAAAAAGTTTAAACATAGGCAACTCAATTAGTTGGATAAAACTCGAATGCAAAAGAAGTATGATTGTCTCAATCCACTTGATCAGTATACTGTGGTATACTATGATATATTGATCTAGTGTGTTTGGTCATATCTCAATAAATCAAAAATAACTTTGTCTATCTTTATGAGCAATCCTTAACATGGGAAAACCCACAAGACCTAATCCAGCCAAGAACACACACCATTAGGTCATACTCCCACTCCCAAAACACTGTTGTACTGATTCTCCATAGTAAACGCAAAAAACAAGCACAGTAATCAAAACTCCACAAAAAATCTTCAAGGGAATAACCACAACCAAATTAAGTTTTAGATACACATTTCTTTAACATTTAGGTGTGACTAGTCTATATCATTCTTGAAAACTCCAAAATTGTGTGTTCGATCTTCAGAGGTTACCCAGGAACCATTCAATCTCATGAACACTCATTCTCAGAGGGCTAGGTTTTAGATTTGACTCTCAAGAATGTGTTCTGCCTCTCATGGTTATTGCCCAAACGTCTTTAAATCTAGAATTTATACTGGAAATAATTGAGTTGAGTTAGGAAAGATTTTTGTTCACAAAAGGAAACTTTTGATGCTCAAATCATGACAATTGTCAAGTGCCAAGCCATCTCGCTCGAGCCTCCTCCACTCACAAAGCAAGGAGGGAGCACCAGCTAGTGGAGTGTTCTAACTAGTTCCTACACAGATCGCTCAAGCGCTAAGACCTAAACGAAGTTGACTGATGTGACTCGCAATATTTACTAATTACACTTATAGCCCTAACATACCTACTTTTTAATTCTTTCTTCACCCGATTTAATTTGTATTGAATTGTCTTTTTCTTTGTTGAGTGTATGAAGATTTTTGTTGTTTCAGTTGCTTAAAACCATTATTTCAGAATTTGAAAGCTCCTGCGAGCGCCCTCTCACTTTGCATTGATTCAACATGGAATTGTTTTTGTATATGTAATCTTTACCTTCTTTTAATTTGTGTGCCGATCTTTTCCATATTTTGCTACTTAGCTGATAGAAGAAGAAGCAACTGAAATAAAGCACAAGTTTTCCACTCCAAGGCGCTCGATGGTTGAGGACACCGATAGTGGCTTACTTGAAGAAATAGATCTTATCCCTAATGATGAAATGCTACTGGTACTTTGCACGTGCAGTCCTTACAATGTGAAATTCTTTGCTTCTCAATCTATTGTTATTCTATAGAGTTCTTGATTCTATTTCAGGCATTCAGCGAGAAGGGTTATGTTAAAAGAATGAGACCCGACACATTCCATCTCCAAAACCGTGGAACCATTGGTAAATCAGTTGGGAAATTGAGAGTGAATGACACATTGGCCGACTTCCTTGTTTGTCGTGCCCATGACCATGTTCTGTATTTTAGGTATGTCTTGTCTGCTTCCGCTTTAATTTGAAATATTTTCCCTTTGATAATAATGGATTGTTTTTTACGGCGTTATTTTATTTATTTAATTTTGTAGAATTCGTTTTTTACATTCTGTTCTATGCGCTGGGAAGTTTTTCTACTAGAACTGGACCGAAGTACATTTGTTCTAGTGTTTGTATGGTCCACACTGACAAGAATTTAGATAGAAGTTACTCAACTTAGCATTTAGGCATCCGAGAATCCACCACTACTTGAAGGGGCTTTTTGAAATGAAAAATTCCACTCATTTTGACATTTCTACCTCCTCCACTAGCGCATGCCCAAGGCGTAGAACCTATCAAAAAATTTTAAATTTGGAACTGTTGTTTTGCACTTATGGATCTGTATTGCTTAGTTTGGCAATTACCGGTGACATGTGTTCAGTCTTAGGGAAATCATGTTTGTATGAGATCGACAACAATTGTGGCAAGCATATTTTCTTGGTTTTAGTTCAATTAGATTTGGGTCCTAAGAAGCAAGAATACGAGACAAGATACGTATCCGAATCGGCATAAGCACATCGACACCTGATTTTTCACTAGATATATAAGTGGACTCACTAAATATGATATATGTATAAAAATGATTATACAACTAAACTCAAGTCAACAAGGTCTTAATCCCATCTATTTAGGGTCGGTTACATTGTTCTTGTTTTTCTATTGTGGTCTATCCTTTTCTATTAGTTAGTTCAAAGTTATTTTAGGCCTACCTCTATCCGTCACATTATCATCAATATTTATCAAATCAATTTTCCTTATTGGTGCATCACTAGGCCTTTTACAAATATGTCCAAACCATCTAAGTTGATTCCATTTGAATTTATCTCCTATTGGTGCTACTTTTATGGTTTCACTAATGTACTCAATTCTTAATTCTATCATTTCTTGTTTTATCACGCCTCCATTTGAACATCTCAATTTTTACAACACTTAGTTTATGAGTATGTTGTTTCTTAATTACATAATAATGTGTCATAGAGCATTGTTGGTCTAATGGCTCTCGCATAAACATCACATAATACGCGAGATGCATTCCTCCACTTAGTCTATCATGCTTTAATTCTATGCGAGGTTTTTAAAATTAGGATCCTACCTTAGATTGTTTGGGAATTTTGAAGGATCGAGATCGTGTGATCTGATTGACAATCATTATGATCCTACGAACGAAGAAAGAGATCTTTCTGTAACAAAAAGAATTTTTGTAGCTTTTCTTATTCGCCAATATTCTCCTATAGACATACCACTAGGCGAGACAATCACATTTGGATTAAGTCTTTAAGTATTAAAACAATAAAATGAATTAGGCCAACTCAATAACTAAATGCACATAACAACAAACCTAACAACTTGGATTGGTAAAATTGCAATTCGGGTGAGGATCCGATCCATTAAGATCCTATTAATTAGAGATTCTACAAGAGACTCAGATCGATTTGCTTGTAACGGATCGTAATATCTTATGATCGGGATTGCGATTTTGATAACCATGATTCTATGATTTACTTGGTCTCCAATTGCCCCTTCCCTATGGATAATTAACCCTAGATATAAAAAGTGTTCACTCTAGGGTATTTCTTGATCTTTGATCTTTAATACCTCTCTATTTGAATTTCTATTATTAATAAAACTTCATTCCATATATCCGGTGTTTTTTCCTAATCCTACATATTTCGGATTCTAATAGTTTTCTCCAAACTTCTAGTTTATTCTTAATATTTATTTTAGTTTCATAAATCAATACTATATCATTAGTAAATAATATATACCATGAAACCTCATTCTGAATGTGTCTAGTCATTTTATCCATAATTAAAGTAAAAACATATGGACTTAAATGTGGAACCCTGATGTAGGTCTACTGTGATTGAGAATTTACTACTTTCCCTTGCAATTGTTCTAACTAAAGTTACAACACCCTTATACATAACCATAATCATATTTGTATGTGTATTAGTAATTCTGTTTTTCTCTAAAAATCACCATATTATGTCCTTAGAAACTTGACCATATAAATTTATAAATTACATATGGAAGCTCGAGCCTCATAAATTACATATGGAAATCTTTCTATTTTCTATACTTTCTCATTAGCCTCGTAAGTAAATATATAGCTTCCAATCCATTGTTGACCTCCCAACATAAATCTAAATTGATTCTCTAGTACGATTGTTTCGGGTCTTAATCGTTGCTCGACCACTCTTTTTTAAAGTTTCATTTAATGACTCATTAACTTAATACCTCGATAGTTTGTGAAGTTTTGGATGTCCCCTTTGCTTTTATATATAGATACTAAAATACTTTTCATCCACTCATCTGACATGTTATTAGTTGTCATAGTTTTTTTTATTAAATAGTTTAGTTAACCAAGATACCCCAACATTTTTCATTTTTCTTAATGGATTCTTTATTTCAAACACCCTAATTTTTTGAAAAAACTTAGTTTCGTTAGTATGTTTTTGGCTATTAATATTATACTATTCAACCTTTTAAGTTTCTATATTGCATAGTTTTTAAACCCGGCCTAGATATCAACATGGTAAAGGGATCGGGTGAATGGGTCATTGGTTCAACCGTTGGATTACTAGTTCAACCAGTTATATAATTAACAATAAAAAATAATTAGTAATAACAGTAAATATGCTAAAAGATTATACAATAGTTACAAAATAACATGTTTTGTGTTATAGTAGATGAAATAAAATGATAATAACTATCTTCAATTTATTAACGCATATGTTTGATATAATTTGCTTGAGCATAAAAATTGAAAGAAAAAGAAAAATAGCTCCAAGGTATACTGAAGGTATTAAAAAAAGTAGAAGAAGAACCATGTCAATTTATATACACTACTTCTAATCCCATATCGGAACCCACAAGAGGAGAAGAGGACTACACGCTTTATAAAGAGGTGCAGGTCATTGAATAGTCAATGGTTGCTTTTGGCTTGATAGCATGGTACGAACTCCTTTTGATGAGGGAGCTATGATAGACCAGCTAAAAGATAAGTAGTATTATTTATGTTTAAATTTTAAGACAAATAGATCTAGTGGGATTTGAGCAAACCGGACCGGTTTGCATTGGTTCTTAATGGTTAGATAGTTTGAACGGTTTTAGCCAGTTTGAATAATTTTATTGGTGGGCGAATTGCTTAATCTGTCCGATTAAGAAACCAGTCTGGCTCAAGCACCGGTTGACCATTTCCCCATGTTGACCCGCTGGGCTGGGCCGGGTTTTAAAACATTGCTATATGGTCTTCACTTAATAATTTCTCAACATAATTTTGCACCTTTTCTTAATTTCTTTATTTTTCACCAAGTTCCCTGTATTCTTGTTTTAATACAGTTAATGTGGTTAACATCCCCAATTTTTTTTCCCTTAATTTTGCAAGTATATATTTATATTTCCCTATATGTTAACTTCTTTGTTTGCAAGCTTATATTGCCAACAAATTTCTTCATTTCTAGTTTTTTGCTATGTTTTATAACCTTTTTTTTACCGCACTTTTGACATGATTATTTAATCACCAAGTTTCTTTAGGTAATATTCCATGACCTTTTGATTCTCCTGGAACTTCTATTGTACTTTTTTTGATGCGTCTTACCATTTTATTCCACATTACACTAGTTTCATCTTCTAGATTCCATGCTACTTCTTTTACCAACTTATCCTTAAGTAAAGCTTAGTTTTTCTCCCACGATCTAATTTTCTAGCTAGAAAAAATTCTATGTGACTCCTATTTAATCCACTTTTTCGGTGTACGCAATCATGAGGTCATATGCCTCTACAAAATTGAATATAGACTCTCCAGCATAATTCCTACCTCTAAACCCATTTCTACCATGAACCATCTCATATCCTCTATGATCTTGTACTATATGACCATTAAATCTCTTCCAATGTCTATTTTCTATTCTGCAATTATTTATCACATCAACTCGTTCATATATTCTGAAAATTGAGTTTTAATATATTGTTCCAATCCTACTTGAGGTGCATTAAACCCATTTCCACCATGAACCATCTCATATCCTCTATGATCTTGTCCTATATGACCATTAAAATCTATTCCGATGTCTATTTTCTATTATACAATTATTTATCACATCAACTCATTCATATATTTCGAAAATTGAGTTTTAATATGTTCATCCAATCCTATTTGAGGTGCATTAGCATTAATAATATTCATTTTATTTTCTCTTACTACAAGCTTAATTAGTATTGTTGTCTCCTTTCCTAATAACAATTATTGTTTTTTTGCTTAAAATTCCAATATACAATTATTCCAATTCCATTTTTAGGTGTATCTTTTCCCGTATAGCAATGCTTAGAATCCGTATTTTCTGCTTCTCTTGATTTCTCTATTACTCATTTAGTTTCTTGTGAGTTTTTGTATTGTCCAAGTTGCTAACCTTTGTAGTGTCTCAGACTAACTTCTTTACTCTAGTTCATTCAAAATAGCACAAAAACTCCTGCACATTTTCCATTGCATTTGGGTGACTAAAATGCAGCGCCCATTATCCATTTTTCAAAACATCACGGTATGGTGCAACGCATTGCATACGGGGAATGCTCTAGTGTTTACATATATATTTTTTGGATTTATGTTCATTTTTGATCTGACAGTTGTTACACTGGCTGTCAACTACCTAAAACAATCCTTCCCCTTTACCTGACTGAATATGTAAAAGATAGGCACTAAAACTTGACACAGACGGAGTTTGAATGTATATGATTATATGATAAAATATTTCGATTTTTAGTTAAAAGGAAAAAAGTACAAAAGTACCAATCAAAATCATTAATTGAGCATTCAAACACTTCAAACCAATCTATTTGTTCTCTTGATCATCATTAGTTCTTTCTTATGAACTGAAGAACAGACCTAGAATGAATTTGTGAAAGCTTACTTATAAATTTTTTTCAAATTATAGTTTTGACCCGCATTTCTTTAAAACTACATAAATAAGTTAGTTACCTAACATGC